TCTCTAAGCTTTCTAGTGCTAAGTTAAGTGGAATTTGAGGTGTGGGTTCACTCTCGTCATCATCATCATTATCATTCTCTCGAAGAGCAGCTAAAATTTCTTGGTTTGAAGGGATCTCAGTTGTAGATAAGTCATTGTCAATTTTTATATATTTTGAAGCAGGTAAAAGATCATTAGAATTAATTGGAAGTTGTTCAATAAGATAATGAGCTTCTCTCTCATCATCTAGATATTCATTATGTGAGAATTCTTGCAGAGGAAAATGATCATTATTCAATTCAACTGAAAGAATTCCCGTTTTACGCTAACAATTTCTAATTGTTTCACTTGATACCTCATCCCATGCTGATGCACAGTAATCTATTGTTTCTTTTATATTGACTGGAACCAGTTCTGACTGAGTCTCAAGTGCAAATTCATATGCATCTAAACGGTTTTGAATGAGAAAACGTCTATATTTGGTCTAAATAAATAAATATTTTGTTAGCGTATAATATGTTACAGACTTGTCAACTAATTTAGAATACCTTAAAACAAGAATGAACTACTCTTTTTCCTTTTTTTATCACTTTTTTTTTATCTTTTTTTTTTTAGTGTTTTTTTTTTTATCTTTTTATTATTTTTTTTTTCTATCTTTTTTTTTTAGAATAAGAATATTTTTGATAATGGTGTACAAAATTAATTAGCAAACCTGTAATACTATACTTTAAAAGAATTAATTATCCCAGCATCCATCGGTTGAAGATGGGCTGTAGTATATTTAGGCAAGGGCTCTATTTTTATATTAGTTAACACTATGTTGTCTTCAAGATCATGAGTTGGCACATTATCAATTAAAAGTAATATTTGGCGATTTTTAAGACACATCATTGAATCCAAATCTTTTATATAATATTGCCAAATAGATTTTTGCATCCATGCAGTCTTGTTCTAGAAATACTCAACTGGTAATTTTTTTTTATCGATATTTCTAAGCACATGTGGGTTTTTATACTTATGGATGAACAATGGTTTTAATTTTTCTGTTCCTGTTGTGTTAGAAGTTAATAAAATTGTAACCCTTTCTTTTGCTTTTTTTGTTCCTGAAACTGGACCTGTTGCTAATATACGGGAAGGCTCTATCTGGTAATACAAACTAGTTTCATCACAATTGAAGACATCCTCAAGCTGATAAGGTTGAATAACACTTTGTAGTTTACTTCTAAATTCGGGTAATTCTTCCAAAGGTGCACTATCAGCTTCACCTTGCCTTTTATACTCTCTAATGTTGTGTCTTTTCTTAAAGTTATGTAACTAACCATTTGAAGCATTAAATTTATCTTCATTCAGTAATGTTGCAAATTCTTTCGCCTTATTTTGGATAAGATAGCCTGTTAATGTTTGCTTATTGCCTATAACATGTTCTATCCAAAGTGCCACTGCCAATTCAATGTCAACAAAAACAGGTTTTTTGCTTCTCTTATTTGTCGCTTCTTTTGAACCTAAATTGATCGATAACTAATGATCTGACTTTGCTAAAATTTCACTATATGTTGATTCACTGATACCATATTGAGCAGCAAGGTCTTGATTTTTAATACTAGGTTCGTTCTTTTTTTGAAGACATAAATTATATCTTTGTTTGTTGGTTAAAGTAAACCTTCTTTTCTTTTGAGCTTCGCTATTACTATTATTGTTTTGTCGCTTATTTGTACTAGTATCCATTACTGCACTTGTTAAATGAAAGACATGAAAATTTTAACTTTTTTTATATTATACTGATTAACGATGTTACACAAATGCTTCATTATCTCATTTAATAATTCGTTATATAAAGGTATTCATTATAACAAGATAATTTTGTTATGAACAAAAAATAAATTATTTCGTTATATGTTATAACAAGGTTTTATAATTAAATTCATTATATCGAGGTTAATTTATTAATAAAAAATTTTAGCTGGAAAAAATCTTTGTTATAATGCCAAATTCGGTTTATTGAGGTTCATTATATCGAGATTATACTGTATATCAAAACCAATATAAAGCCACTAGATATACTCAACGAACTGTTGACACACATTTTAAACTAATTACTGCTAGAGAATACAACACTGCCAGAGCAGCTACTAGAAATATTGTTTTTAGCTACCGATATAGTAATCCAAATTTAGATCCTAAAGCGGTTATTGCTGTCCTCCTTGAATCTCACACAATCTTCACTCTCCAATCAACTTTACCTCTCGACTTTGAAACAACCGCACTTGACCTATATATTAAAAATCCTACTATCGCATCCTCCTCCCGGAATCCTCCAAAAACTACTCACACTTTTGGAAACTTCTCTCCTATTCCTGTTGACCAAGAGAATCTTGACCTTGCCACTCCTCCCGTATAATCTATATATACTCTTGGACCTGAAGATTTAGACAACCCTAACTCTTCTTATCTAGCTCCATACAACGAAAATACTACTCATATTGAATTTCCTCCTCAGATTGCCTTACCTTTTTCCCCACTCATAGAAATCCCATTAGACGATCCTCCACTTAGACAACAACCTAGTCCAACTCCTTCTACCTCTCAGCAACCTGGTGTAATTCGACAAATATTAGGTCGCATAAGCTCTTATAATTCTTTGCCATACTTGGAACCTATCCAGAAGCAAATATAGCTATCGATATTCGATCTACCACCCCATTAAATACTCCTCCTCCTGTTGTAAATCCTCCTGCACCAAAATCAGTTACTCTTTCAATAACAGAAGCTCCTTATCAAGAAATTAACTGGGATGAATATCTTGACTTACCTCCTCTGCCAAGAGATAACCAACAGTCTGACGTCGAATCTGAAGCTACTATTAACCCAGAACCTGAATCTGAACCTGAGCTTGAAATAATCAATAACCAGGAACCAAACCCAGAACCAAAGCAAGTTAATAACCAACAACCAGTACAACCAAACCCAATGGCCAACACTGCTTTAACTGCTGCTGCTGAAGCTTTGAATAACCTAGCTAACAACCTAGGACATGGTGGTGAAAAGTCTCTTATCAAAATAGACTTTTATCAAGATGATGGAACTCAAGACCCCATAACTTGGCTAGAATAATTTGAATATGCTGCCAGAGCTAACTATTGGACTACTGCCCGACAAAAAGAGTTAGCCTCTGCTTATATGAAGAACAATGCCCAAAAATGGTTCACTAGCCTAGAACATGCTCCAAATTATTTTCATCACACACACAACATGGTCAAAGAGTAGATAATGTTGATATTATAAGTTTAACCATTTATTTAAAGAAAAATTCAGCACGACTATACAAAAAGCTACTTGGCAAAAGCAACTTTTTGAAATAAAACAAGGAACAGACACAGTTGATACCTATATGAGCCGTTTTAAATAACTTAAAACCAGAGTCGACCTAGGAAACTATTACCCGGCCACTCTTCTTATTCAATTCTTTATTCAAGGACTCTGACCTGAATACGCCATTAATGTCCAAGCATCTGAACCTGCTAACTTAGATGATGCTATAGCTGAAGCAAGAAAATGGGAAACAGGAAGAGTTATGGCCTCTAATTACAATACTAATTGTGATACTAACCAAGCTATCGAACGTTTAACTGAACAAATAGCCAAACTAAGTATTAATCTTGCTGAAAAACAAACTGCACCTCCTCCCTCTACTTCTGTTTATTATTCAGATAAAGATAAAAATTCTTCTCGACAAGGTAATAATAGTATAGTGTGTTACTACTGTGGTAATAAAGGACATTTTATTAGAGATTGCCGCATTAGAAAAGATGATAAAAGAAGAAACTCCTGTGATTATTCTCGTGACCAGAGCAGTAACTACTCTTCTAGGGATAATCGATCCTATGACCATTCTCGCTCCCATGATAGAAATAGATCCAGAGACCGAAACTCTAACCATTCTAGATATGATCGTTCTGGAAGTTGAAGCCAATCTAGAAATAGATCTAGGAATGATAAGGACTATTGATTTAATAACCGATCCAGAAGCCATTCTTCTATTCCTTATCCTTGTGATGCATATATTGTAGACACTACAAATGACTATACCTTTGAACAATTTGAAACCTTTTTAGCCAATGAATCTATTCGAGAAGCATTAGCTGGATATTTAGCTGAGGAAGCAAAAACCAAGACACAGACTCTTTCTTATACCACTCCTGTGAAGTGTAACATTAAGCTTAAAGGAAAACCTTACCAAGCCGTAATAGATAGTGGTGCTACCATCAGCATAATCTCTCATCAAACCAAAGATAGAAGCTCCCTCTACTAGTCTTATATTATCTGCTGCTGGATCCTCTACTCGACCTTTGGGAATTATCAAAAATCTTCCTGTAGAAATTGAAGGTGTAACTATCCCTCTTAATGTAGAAGTAATGAATGTTGCCTTCTACTCATTACTCTTAGGTAATGACTAGTTACAAAAAGCTACAATTGGAAAAATAAAGCCTATACTCTCAGATGGAACAAGAAAAAGATTCATGTCCCAACCACTTATGAATATAACCAACCACTACCTGCTCAACCTACTGTGACTGATAAAAGAGAATTACAACAATTTGAACAAGAATACCTAAGTCCTCGAGAAGCTTATATGATTGAAACAAATCAACCTGCTGCTTCTACCTCCAGATTCAGACCCTACTCTGACGCCAACCAAGGATGTAAAACTTGCTCGTCTACTACTCATCTCGATGTTTCCAATGTAATCGATATGGCTATCTTGCTGTATATTGTTCCAAGCAAGCCCCTAAATGATCCACATGTAGAACCTGCTCTCAGCCAGGACACTTTTACAAGAACTGTCTAGAAAACCAATGCTACCAATGCAACCAGTATAGTCACATTGGAATAAACCGTCCTCAAAATACCCCTATCTTGGAAAACCAACGATATGTGTGTGGATGCTCCCCAAGTAAAGTTGAAAGCCAACAACTATACCATTACTCTCCTCATCGAGTTAACCATTGCTGCAAATGTAAAGTACCTCAGAAGCCTAAAGACCTTAAATATTAGAGCAAACTTTAGTTTGTAAAGTTTGTTGGACTCATTTCCATCAAGAGCTTAATAGGAATGACCCCAAAGCATAAAATATTTTACCAATGGCAATGGCAAAGGAACTCTTATTCAATGTAAACTTTGCAAAAAAGAATGCATTAGATCCAGAATGTACAAACTTGACACTATCTGAGAAAACTCCTGGTTTTGTAATTTAGAACATTTGTATGCTTACAAGGCTGCTAGTGATGTGGAATAGAATCCTAATCTCAACTTGTGGACCCAAGTTTGACATTATACTGAGTCTATCCGAAATGCTGGACATGCCTATAATCTCAACCAAAGCCATATTTTTTGATTAGCCATGATCCAATTAGGCGAAAGTACTGAACGCCTCGCCCACGCTCCTGAACCTCTTGCTAATGATCGCTCTAACCAAGACTATACTTATGATGAAGTTAACATTATAATGAGAGTCTCACAAGTCCAATTGAGCAAAACTGAAGAAACAAAACTGCAAAGAATCTTAGCTGAATCTTTTGAAATTAGCCACCCAGATTTTGACCAACAGAAAGCCATGGAAAACTTACAAAAGAATTTCTTAGAAACTGTAGGACTCTGTAAGGACTGTCTTATGGCTAAATCCAGAACTGAACTTGAACAATTTGGGAACTGCTGCCAGGAATATTATAATGAAGCTCATCCTCAACAGCCAGAACCAACACTTGAATTTCCTTCTGCACAACCTAACCAACAAGAAATAATTAGTTTGCTACAAGAGCAAATCCGACAACAAGCTCAAATAATTAATTATTTGCAAAAACAAGTTCAGGCCTCCGAACAGCAAGTACAAACTATTGCCATGTTACAGACCAAGGTTAATAAATTTGAACAGTTCCATCGTCAAATGAAGAACCTCTATGATGAATCTCTCTTCTCCCAAGACCTGGTTGAAGAGACTGAAAATTTTTAAACTATTCTGAGCAAAATCAAAAACTGCTTGAAGATACAGAAAATAATAGAAACAGACAAGTCTATGAAATTTATACTACTGAAATCACACCATAAATAGGATCTTTAAGCCCAGATCAAGGAGCCCAATTCCACCAGCTACTCATGAAATTCTTCGATCTCTTTGCAAAAGATATGTCACAACTTGGAAAAACAAGACTGGTAACTCATCGAATATTCACCAAAGATGTACCTCCTATAAGCTCTCGACTCTATATGGTACCTTTTACCGAACAAACCTTTATTAATGAAGAAGTACAACAAATGTTGGATAATAAATTGATATGAAAATCCTTTAGCCCATAGACTTCTTCTGTTGTACTTGTCACCAAGAAAAATGGAAAGAAAAGATTTTGTATCGACTATCGTAAACTAAATGCTATCACAAAAAAAGATCAATACTCTTTATCTAAGATTGATGAAATGCTAGATTCTCTAGCCAGAGCTAAGTATTTTTCTACTTTAGACCTTATGAGTGGATATTGGCAAGTTAAAGTT